CGACCTCTTCCACACAGGTTAACGTTATCGAGCAGGGCTCTAACATACAAACTCAGATAGGTCTTACATCCTTGGTAGATTCTCTCGACCTCTTCCACACATGTTAATGCCATCGAGCAGGGCTCTGACATACAATCTCGGATAGGTCTTACATCCTTAGTGTATTCTATCGGCCTCTTCCACACATGAATACAAAATCTTGGAAGGCTAAAAAACCTCAAAGATCATGGAAGGCACATTTATCAAAGAATATCTCAAAGAGGCATAAAATAACTTAATTTTCTTTGGATGAAGAGTTCATTTCAAATAAAAAATAAGCATCAAGCTCATACAATAATCTCAACTTTTTATACAATATCATTGGAGTTACATTGCAAAATTGTACATCAAGCTCAAGTGTACATTTATTCTCATTAGAAGTTGAAATCAAAAAATATATTTACATCATTCATACATAAATATATAATGATGACACACTTCCGTATAGATGCATATTACCTTTGCAAAATGTCACTGAGCACCAGCCATCATCGGCCCTTCATCTGATGTATGCCAGAGGTCCTTTATTACTTCATATCAGTCATTATCGGCTCCTCGCTTAACTATTAATAGCATCACACCCTCCGATTCTCTCCTTCAGCACTCCACTCAACCTTTGACTACCGACGAACTTCTTCTCAAATAGCATCAAAATTCTCCCCGTCTACTCACCACTTATGGTTATCCTCCAGTCGCATGACTTCTATATGTCGCGGGACATTCGTTGAAATTCTACCCGACATTGAGCCTCCTCCCATCATTGGACTTCTATCCATCATAGGACTTTCATCGGACTTCCAACTGTATGCTGTCAAAAGTCGATTTTTCCCCGACCATAATATCTTGAAGAGGGAAGTGGAAGAAGAGAAGCGGCTGTAAAAAGTCCAACTTCAACGCAAGAAGAGGAGCACTGATTTTGAGTAGGGAAAATTACCTACAAAAAATAGTGGAAGGCCTCTAGAGCAAGAACAAGATGGGGGAGAAAAAAGAAGAAAAAAAATAAAAGGTTGCAAAAATTTTCTTCTACACTGAAGAGGAGGGCACTAAGTTAAATAGAAAAAGTCACCTACTAAAAAATAGCGGAAAGCCTCAACTGTCAGAAAGCCAAAAAGAGAAAAAGAAGAGAGATTTCTAAATTCTATACAAGAGGAGGAGCGCTGAGTTAAGTAGGGAAAATCACCTACTAAAAAACCAGCGGAATGCCTCAGCTGTAAGAAAGTTAGAGGGAGAAGAGAAGAAGGTGCAAGTTTCTCCCTGACTCTAGGGGATATTTATAATATTTTTTAAAAGAGGATAGATTTCAGGAATATTCTGGAATTTTTTGATTTAAAATGTTTAAAAAAAATTCAAAATTTAAAATCGTCGGTCTTTTAACCACGTGGCTAACCTTCCGGGTTGCGCCGTTTCGCGTGTGGCGCGCTTGCCGCAGCCGGCGGGGGGCCGGTTCTGCCGCCAACGCTTGTCCGGGCCCAATTTTTGGCCCGGACAGTACAAATCTGATATTTTTGAGATCCCCTAACACGATTTTAAACATTTAGGACTAAATCTTGAAACTTTCAAAGCTCAATGAGACCTCTATGAATAAGTTTATGTTTTTTGGAGTGCAATTTTTGGCTATCCAATGAAATTGAAGTGTTGTAACATATATTTTCGGACTTCTTGAGCATGAACGTCCGAAAATAGGGGGGCAACTGATATGTCATCAAAATATTATCTTGATTGAGCACAAATTTTGAGGCAAAATCAAGCCATAAGCTTCAAAAATTAAATCTGGGGTCACATGAACTTCAATTTCAGCAAACATACATTCAAACTAAGCATCTCGGAAATACAAACCCAACGACAGCAAATTAGACCCAATCCGAGCCCAAAATCTGTCAGAATCAAGGACCCGAAGCGTTGTTGGAAGGTTCAAACCGCAATTTGAGTTACCAAAC